CAAAGTAAGGTAAGTGTTTATGTTAGACGTAATATAACTATTTCCTAGGAAACAGTAATGATCAATTATAAGATGATTGGGTGATCAAATTTACGAAGATTAGCTGAGATTCAATTGAATCTCCTAGAGACTTTGATTTCGTATGAAAGGATAGGTAGAGATTTGTTGGTTGATTTCGTCGCAATAGTAAAACCGATTCCCTCTGTTCTATAGTCATTTGGCTATAATACCAAATTCAGGTTGGCGGAGTACACTAGACATCCTCTCTCGGTTCGGGTGAAACTGGGTTCAGCTTTTGTCCATCGTATGACGGACATAATTATATCTGAAAGTCATTCTTGCAAAAGCTTCAAGTTAATATCAAATCAAGAAGACTATCCGGCTCTATCCTACATACCATATATGCTATTAACAACTATATAGATAAATATATAGAGGAATGGATGGATAGATAATGCTTTGCTTAGTCCTCTTTCGAACTAATCAGGGTACAAAATCAGTGAAACATGATAAATGTAAACATATTTTTTTGGGAATAGAACAAAGTTTAAGGGTTAAAACGGACGCTTCTACTTATGATAGGCTGAGAAGAAAACTGTAAATAAGTTATAACTTTTGTATGTCGTAGCAAGTTCCAACAAGTAAGCAATTAGTCGGCTCCCGCTTGGGTTGGTGATAAGACATAATTAAGGTCATATTCAAATATATCTAGAAGTGTATTGTATATTAAAATTAAAAGGTGAACTCAAAAATCACCTTATATCCATTGTTGGTAGGTTCAGCGTATCAAAAATGGTGTAAACGGAAAGTCATTCTATATACCAAATGAGTTGTTAGTTAATTTAATTAAAAAAATCAGGTTGGCAGGAAGCTAAAATGCAAGCATATGTGGAGATATACACACCCATTTCCCCCTCTAGTGCGACAGGCTCTGAGACCGCCTGCTTTTGAGAACGAGGCAATTCCTTGTCTTCAATGGTTTCGCAAGGAAGACCGGTAGCTTGAGAAGGATATGAGTGATGATGGCAAGTTTCTTCCTGAAAGTTACACTGGTAGCGTGTGACACTTTTCCCATCAATTACAATGATAGGAACACCTAGCTGAGCAAGTGAGTCGATTGGATGGTCAAGCTCCATTCTATCTTCTCCATTCTCCTGATCCGAATGAGTTGTAGCATTAGTGTGAGTGGAGAAAGAGGTCGGGCCAGTGGCAGCAGCAGAGTCGGTGGCCGAAGGTTTATGTGCAGCTGATCTAGGTGGAGAACATCGAGATGAGTTTTGAAATGAAGTTGAGACATCATTTGGACCAGAAAGATTTCCTGTCGCGCCTTCTGTCACAGATGGCCTGCTAGCTAAAAGGACGCAGTGCTGGCCCCCTGCATCAACCATAATGATACGTCTAAACAAACATGAAAAAGCAAAATCAGAAAAATTAAGAAGCTTAGCACCTTAGTGGGTACTAGTGGGGCCTAATTTTAGATAAGCAAAACTGCTAAGTATGAATAGGCGTTAAGCAAGTAAATAGTTTATAATTATATAGAGCAAGAGAAGGTTACCGAATGTAGTATCGTTTATATAAGGTCCTAGACTTTAAGTAAATCTGAAGTTTATAAATAAAAGTGTAAATCCAAAAGGTAGGTTTAAATAGTAATAAATGGGAGGTTTTAGAAAGCATAATAATCCTAAGAATTAGAATAAGCAAAAAGAACGAAGTAAAAAGTTACACCAAAAAGTGAAAGGAATAAAAATAATAAATTACAATGCAGACTCCATCTTTTTCTTATTACTCACACGGATATTTCCAAATAAAAAGTTTCTAAAAGATAATTAAATGATAAAATTGGTTTAACTCTCCTGGAGAGCTAATACTAGGTGTAGATAATCAAAAATTAATGCATTTGTTGAACCTACTTCCATTTCGAGTTAAGGTGTTTGGTGAAGAGATTCGAAGGCCGATCTCATCAAAAGACGACGGGGATTCCTTTTTTGCCAGCTGTCGATTGGCTTTATTAGAAAATTCTTGATGATGTTGTTTCCGAGGCAATCTCCTTCGATTTCGGTGAAAATGGAATGGATGAGGACGGATATCATCAGAGTGGGCTATCATCCTAACAACTATCTTCAAGTTAACGAATCAAGAGGACTCATCGGCTCATCCATTAATGCCGTATATATATATATATATCCTACAACCATGATTTTTGCTAAGGTATAAAGTGATTTGGTTGGTTCAAGTTATATGTCAACCTCGAAACATGTGCTTTTGTGTCTTCGTAAAGTATGAAACCAGCAGTGATAGCTCAAAGTAATTAGAACAGAATCCGCTATCGTCTTCTGGTGAGATCGACCATCGAATCTCTTCATCAAACATTTTCATTCTAAATGGAAATAAGCTTAACAATTGCGAAACAAGGAATTCCTCAAAGCCCAACATTTCTTTGAATAAATTTATTCAATTCAAGAAAAGGTAATATATCTAATACCTCGATAGCAAGCAATCAGCCAATTAAATAAAACTGGTCTTTTTTTCAAATACCAAAATTTGTTAAAGTTAAATGTTGTGTTTTTCTTGACCTCTTCAGATTTATATATTATGATCGGTATAACAAAAATGTTGGAAGCTCACCTATTTTCCAAATTTTTACCGATCATCTCGGTTGGCTCGTAGCAATCACCATCATCATCTCCGTGACCCAGCTGCTGGCTGCTACCCATGCCCCATGAATGTGCAAGCCCGTCCTCACTCACTGCAAAAGAGACGGCCTCACCACACCCGATGGTTATACAGCGTCGGTCGGACAGTGGACCCAGCACTGGCTGTGGAATGCAACATGACGATGCGTTGCAAATGCCATCATTCGGAGGAATGGGACCTATCCCCAAGCGACCATAGTCAAAGCGACCGACGGCAAAAACTTTGCCTGAAGTTATTGGCCGAATTGAGAGCATAAGGTGATAAAAAAAGTCACAAATATCAAAAATATAGCTACTTGAAGCGTTATCTATAATAACTATCCTAAATCGCTAAAGCCAAAATTTGGTATCAGCTTGGCGAATCGAGAAAAGAGCGGACTATTTTTGGGGGGACTTTCATTTCGTATAAAAGTGCATGAAGAAGAGATTCGTAGGGCGACCTTACCATAAGAGGACGGATGAATCCCGTTGTACTGCAGATGTTTGGCTTTTATACGAAGTTCAGGCTGACGCAGTCCACAAGACCCCCTCTCGTTTCGGGTGAAAACAGGTTCACTCGAACTAATTAAAGCCAAAACTAGGTTTAGACAATCCATTCCTGAAATATTGAAGGATGTAGATTTCATTAAGTTACAAGGCATGGCTGACGGATTAAGAGAGACGACTGATAGAGCTACTCGTCGGATATACGATAGGAAGATCCGGAATTTATGAACTAAAATTAGGTCGAGAAACTATGCGCCAAAGTTAAGTCGTACTAACCATGGTTGTAGCAAAGTGGGGAAGGATAAGGTCATCAATTTATCTGGTACAACTCTGGAGGATAGTGTAGTACTTTTATTGGAAAGAAGATGGAATTTTGATCTTCCAAATAAGGTAAACCACTCTCTGGAAATACTTGTTAAATTAATTAGCTTATCTGATAGATTGCCTGAAGAGGTAAGGAATAGTAATGAACTGGAGGTGACACCTCATTTTGACCATATAATACCGCCAAAGAAAGATTGACACATTAGTAGGGTTTCTAGATATCTCTGTGGTAGTAATCTGATCGTAATTGAAGCCGAAAAAGGTGGTGCTACAAACTCTGGAGAAGCATCCAGAGAGAACACAAGGAATAAGGCTGAGTGTAGCTTCCATTATTAGACTTATTAGCCTATCCATGAGTACCAAATATTTTACTTTCGATGGCAAGTTATACAAACAGGCACAAGGTTTAACGATGGGATCTTGCCTGGCTCCCATCTTAACGAACAATTATATGGCAAGACTGGAGGAACACAATCTACAAGAGGCAGTACTAACCCCCAAATTGTTGGTTAGATAGATGAATGACTATTTTGTCATCTGGCCTCATGGTAAGTAAATTTTACTTAATTTCCTACTCTCACTCAACTAGCGTAAAAGCAACATTAGGTTCACGATGGAAATGAAAGAGAATACGTCCTTACCTTTTCAGGATGTTTTCAACATTTGAGGAGAGGGTAAGCTAGGAAGAGATGTTTATAGGAAGCCAACATATGTTTGCTCTTTGCTTAATTTTCTTTCCAACCATAGTTACAAGACTAATGTTGGAATTTTGAAATAAATGATTCTGAGAAGTATGAGGCTAGCGGATAGCAAACATTTGACTAAAGGGGTTGTTTGACCTTGTTTTCGCAATTGGTCATATTGGTAGGAAGACTTAGAGAAACGCACCTAGTCCGGAGTCTATTTTATGCATAATACTTTCCAAAGTTGGACCCTGGACGTGGTACATTCCCAAACGTTTCGCCGGCATCATCAGTGAGTCTCGCCATTCTTAGCATCATACAACAACTCGTCAAAGAGACAAATAAGCCTATCCTTTGACCAAAAGTGTGCTAAACAGTTGTTGTATCTCCCCTCCTATTACACCTTCACTGCCACAATTTTTATACCGTGCTTATTTGGATGTAGTATGGTGTGCTCCTTTGAGCGGCATTCATGAAAATCTTTCACACTCCACTCTGTCATAATCACCCCCTTCACCCTCGTGCTGGGAATATTGACCAGAGTCTGTCATATTGTTATGTATTCCTCCTCCCCTGGGTCCTACCAGAGTCTCCCTCTTGCCCCGTAGTACCTGTCTGCTATCTGCCTATTACACGTATTACACTCAACCCCTGCCCCCCTCTGTGCTACTCGAGGCGTAATTTGCCCATCCCCTACACCTGGGTAATTGATTTGAGGCTAAAGCCTCTAAGTAAGTCTCATGGTCAAGCCTTTGCAACATTGACCACGTCTCTGGTAAAGGTTTCAGCCAACTAGCTCCAGTCTCCGCCGCGCCCATCCTGTTTCTATTTCTAATACCAAGTCTATGACTTGCCATGCTCTAGTCTCTTGTATGCCAACCCACAAATGTTGAACTTAACCAGTTTGTCCATGTACACATTTGCCAAAAGAGGAGAGAATGGAAATCCAATCGGTAGTCCAAATATTTGCTAATAGATGCTACTGTTAAATGTAAAAATGTGGTCCTTACTGTCAGATTGATCAGTCGTGTTAACGATTCTTTCCGTATCCGTTCTACCTCAAGGATGTCCTCTTCTCGATCCAATATCTCCAAACAAGGTGCTTACTGCCTTCTCACCTGAGATCTATGTGTACCTGGATATTTATCTGTTATGTTGACAACTTCCACCAGAATATCACTAAGAACGTTTCCTTCATAACCTAGTGGAAAATGTAACCCCTTTATTAAGAGATCCGTACTTTCAGAATTAAGAGGGATTGAACATAGGTTTACTACCTTAGTCTCATCGTCGTTTGTAGCCGTTGATGCCTTTAATTGAGAAGCATCAAAATTTGCCCGTGCTGGCTTGGTATTGTGTTATCTTATTATCGCATAGCTAAGCAATTTCTTGTCATGCCGCTTATTTATCAGATCCCGGACCCACTGCGACTTCTGATCGGTCATGATCTGGAGTTTTTTTAAATCCAAAGTGAGAACCCTACCTAGATCCTTTCTTTATGTAGACTGGAGATCTATGAATTAAACTAGCTTACGTTTCTCAGTTTCGTAACTTTCCTCTAATTTTTTGATGAAGGCGTGAAAAAGTATTTCATTAACTTTGTCCGAATGACACTTCCTCATTAGATTAAAGAATCGGGGAGTGATACCATAATGTTTGCAACAATTCAAAAAAGGCCAAATGGCAGGATTGACTAACAATTGTCTTCTTTTTCAGGCTGTAATCAGCGTATTGGTTGACAATCTTACTTCCATTGTTCAATCGAAAGTATGAAGACCAAGATGGTGTGGCCTTTTGTGTTGTCGTAGTCTCCTTTCATTGTATAGAGGTTGTTTGACCTTGTTTCCGCAACTTGGTCATATTAGTAAAAAGACTTAGAGGAATGCAACTAGTCCAGAGTCCATTTTATGCATAATACTTTCCAAAGTTGGACCCTGGACGTGGTACATTCCCAAACTTTGGAAAGTATTATGCATAAAATAAACTCCGGCCTAGGTACGTACCTCTAAGTCTTCCTACCAATATGGCCAAGTTACGAAAACAAGGTCAAACAGCCTCTATATAATTAAAGGAGAATGCGAACACACAAAAAACCACACCAGCTTGGTCTTCATACTTTCGATTAAAGTATGGAAGTAAGATTGCCAACCAATGCACAGATTACAGCCTGAGAAAGACAATTGTTAGTCAATCCTGCCATTTGGCCTTTTTTGAATTGTTGCAAACATTATGGTATCGCTTCCCGATTCTCTAATCTAATGAGTAAGTGTCATTCGGACACAGTTAAGGAAATACTTTATCACGCCTCCATCAAGAAATAAGGGGGAAAGTTACGAGACTGAGAAGCGTAAGCTAGTTAAATTCATAGATCTCAAGTCTAGATAAAAAAAGGATCTAGGTAGGGTTCCCACTTTGGATTTTTTTAAACTCCAGATTATGACCGATCAGAAGTCGCAGTGGGTCCGGGATCTGATAAATAAGCGGCATGACAAG